CCCCCCCCCCCCCACTGCACAAACAGCCTACACAGATAGCCCCGATCTCAGGAAAGTTGTTCTATCTGAAGGCCTGGCATAGAGTGCTCTGGTCAAACTCCGCCTCCATGCTTTTTGTTTGACACCACACTCTTTTATGCCTAAAGTGACCTTACAAAGATGACAAACCTGGCACGGCAGACAATGAATGTTTTAGTCCTCTCATTTCCCCAATGTTCTGGTTGTACTAAAAGAACATCTGGGCTTTTTGTCCTTTACAGACTTCTTTAACAACTGTCCTCTCTGGTATGCTGCTTCAACAAGGATTGTATTTCTACTTGTATGCAAACAAACACTTTCTCACGTTTTAATGGTTTGGGTTGTTTTTTAAATAACTTGTAATGTTAAGATTTTTGTACATGGTGGTCTTTTTTCTACTGGTCTACGGAACGGGTGTAATTACTAAGTGGCTGTTAAGGAATATACTTCTGTATGTTATGACTTAACCTGAGGGGAGATGTGGTCCCAAACGCCTCCTTGACTTTGAATAGCATGTATTACTGAAGATAAAATAATCCTTTTGTGTCCTTTTGGGACTCTTTGCTGTGCAGATTCTTAACAGTCTGCCGTCACTACCAAAAACAGCAAGCTCTGTGGACATGTTTCTTTCACGCCAGAGTTGCGAATGCTGGAAAGGAAGCCAGCGGACTAGTATCTAAAGTCATTTTCTATTTACAGCATTTAAAAAGCTGGGCTTCTTAGCCAGCAGCATTCAAACTTCAGCTGGATAGAGACTTTAGAAGCAGAATGTTACAGAACTTTTTGTGCATCAGGAAATAGCAGTAGCAGTGATTGCCTCAGAATTAACAAATCAGTTACCGGAGATACCATCTCTTTCTTGAATGTATGGCACGTTTCATGGAGCTCACTGTGTCTCTTGCAGTGATTTTTAAAAAAATAAAGAAATAAAGAAATATTGTTATACATAGATGCTGTGTTGCTTTGTTTCATTTGGCATTTGGGCTGGTGTAATGGTTGAGCTGTTCCCAAATGTCACTGATAGGGAACTAGTTCACAACCATGTGTAAAGTGCTGTGGCTCTGACATCAGGGGCTGGGATTGAGTGCCCAGTCCAGCATGCCTTGCAGTGGGTGAGTGGGAGGAGGAAGGAGGCTTGCACTCATGCTATGAAGGTCCCAGGAGTGGGTGACCTGTAGCTGGGGGCTTTTTCACTTTTATTTCTCCCCAAAACCTGAGTTCAGTAATGTGCGGCTGACCTAAGCCTGTCATATGCTTGCCTGACACTATTGCCTGACACTGACTTCAGCTTGCTTAACACTGTTGTTTATTATCCAGCTACCCAAAACTTGCCACAGCCTTTCCAGAGAGGTCAAAAACTACATAAAACTCGATCATGTGCCTTCACCCACTGATGCTTATGACCAGGCTTTGTGTGTGCCCATGTCTCTGCAGGCTTTAAGAATGACCAAATGTAAGGAGTAATGCGCTGAGATCAAAGATATGCCACATTGATGTGCCCTTTCAGTAGGATGAGAGCCTCTCTTTGAGCTCACGAATCTGATACCTCTTAAGGTAGGTATGCCACTGTGATGTCATATCAATGGCAATGTGTAAGATGCCATTTGAACATTGTGTTTTGGCACTCTGATTGCAAAAGAGAGATACATCCAAACATTTGCTTGTCCTTCCCGGGGCGGGGGGAGAACATATTAATTATGAAGTCTCCAGCAGAAGTATACATCATACAGGAAATGCACGGGCATGCCTACCAAGATGGTCAGAAAATGCAGACAGCAGGTTGGCATATATCCTAAAGTTACCAATCGGTAGGAAAGGATAGCAGTGAAAAATTCCTCCAGTCACTTATAAATAGTGTCAGAGAAGGTGAAACCATATGAATGCTTTTTGTTGGTTGTTGATCAAATGTAATAGGCACCAGGGACAAGAACTATGCCGAATTAAAAAAAAAAAAAAGCATTCTCCTTTTGGGTACCTTTCATGTCTGACAGTCAGAACTTTATAAAGCTTCCAAAAACACTTTATAAGGCTTCCAAAGTAATTTAACATATTCCTCTTATAGTTTTCCTGATCTGTCACTTCAGTAGATTAAACTGAACCTTTATTAAACACCAGGCTTTATGTAACAGGACTAATAAGACTGAGTGTGTGTTTGTGTGTGTGACTATTAGAACTGTGTGTTCACTGTAGTTTAATTGCAGAGCCTTTGAAAAATATAAGGGTGGCTGATGTGAAATGACAGAGAATTGCTATACTACTTTTTGAACAATCATGCTTTATGACCTTGGGTTGTAATACGCTAGACATGCAATGTCGGTCTTGTTCTACATTTATCATTATTAGAATTGCAGTGGTAAATATAGAGCTACAGCAAGGCACTGTGGTAATGCACACATTAGGAATTGAGGCCAACATCCTAACTAAACAGTATTCCATGCTATCGATCCATAAAGGGCTTTCACTAATGCTGGCTTGATTAAAACACCAAGTATGAAGGTTTGTTTCCTTTCTGTAGGGGGAAAAAAACCCATTGCGTGCTCCCTTTCGAATAAATGTCATTTTTCTAAACATGGGTTGTGGGGAGGGGGCATCATCACATGCACATTTCACAAATCCAGTGTGTGAGCTGAGTCCAGTTGGAAGAATGTGTAGAAATAACGTGATGGGCATGGCATAGAAAGTAAATGTTCTGCAATGACAGAGTTCAGCTGGCAAATCTCTTGGGTGCTTTAATTTTAAGTATGGGGACAAGTGTGCCTTTTTAATGACCTTTCTTAATACATGATGTGACCATACAGCCATCTGAGTTTGACATTCCTGAGGCTAAAAAGCTGTGCCTTGATGATGAGTCTTGAGAGACCCAACTGCTGAGCATCCTGCTCCACTTTCAAAACAAAATCTGAGTCAGAGCAGGACATGGCATACGGGCAGTGCTCCAGAAGCATTAGGCTTCATTTTAACCCTTCTCTGCAAGCTGGTACTCCTGCTGTTCTACTTGTTGTGCTGAGTTTCAAGCTGTGGGCAGATGCTATGTCTGTCTGATAGTTTACTTGACAATGCCAGGGCTGAGGATCCTGGCAGCACGTGCCAGGCTTAGATGTAGCTTGCAAAGGGGCAAGGCCTCTTGTTTTTTGCTTCTCTTACACAGAAAATAGCATGTGGCTTTTAATCCATGCTGGGCTCCTGGATATCAAACAAGGGTGGGGGAAAAAGAGCTCTTAACTAGTCTTTAATGCCTCACATTGCACAGAATAGTTGCTATTTCCTGAGGCTCCCTCTGGCACAGCAGTGAGGGGATTGAAGTGGTGGTAGCACAACAGCGGCCATCAAACTGTAAATACTGAACTATTTTATTGAAGCCCCGGAGCAGTGATGGCAGCTGCACACAGACAGCATGCTGATCTCCATCTGATCATAGTACCACAAAGCTGCAAAGACACAGAAAGGGTGGCATGTGATTTATGTAGCTCCTAGAAGCTCCTACCACAACTCAGATGGGAGATTTGGCATGGAGGAGGGCACAGTTTCCCTCCAACACGGTGCCAGGATTCCTGTGCGTTTGGGAAGCCACTTTGGAGAACTCTGTGGAGTCCATGGTTGTACTAGGAAGACCTCCTGTATCAGGCTTTTGCCCATCTTGAAAACACTGGGATGGGTAAAGCATGAGAATGGGGCTTCCAGCTTGAAAGCCAGATCAAACTCTCCTCTTGTCTTTCGATAAAACATGTAAGAGTGGAGAGATTTTTTTTTTTTTTTAATTCCTTGGCCTTTGTTGCCAAAGTTTTTAACGAGTTGCTGCTGTCAGTTGCATGGAGCTTGGAGCACGTAAAAGCTCTTGCTTCTACAAGAAAAGAAAAACAGATGCCACTACTCAGGAGCAAAGCGTCCAGCTTTTATTAAAATTAAAACTGAGCCTGTTATGTCTTTCAACCCATTCCTTGAAACAGGATGCCGAGGAACAGCTTAACATATGAACCTAGTAAGGTAGGGTCAATCTCCCGCAATCTCCTGAGGCCCAAACCCCATCTGCTGTATATCGGTGCATGTTTGCGTCTTGACTGCAGGGACAAGCTGGGATAGGACAGCATACTCTAGTTGCTCTTAGATATGCACTTTCCCTACATGTTAAAGGTGAATGTGATGCATTGAACTATGCCAGCCACATGCCTCAGCTTACATAGGAGCAGGAAGAGGTGGAGAGCAGGCAGAGGCACCAGATGCACAAGGATGAGAATCAGTAAACAAAACCACATGTGGATTTTATGGTTCAAGCTTTTCCCCCTCTAAATGACCATTATGAAACTCAGGGGTGGGAGGGGAGGAGGGAACAGAGCTGTTGGCCTTTGTCTGAAATGATTCTCTCTTCCCAGCTGAGAACACAGACAAGCATATACTCTAATGCTGTGGTGACATCCCATGACATACATGCCACAAGTGGCATGCAACCAGTATGTTTGGCACATGCGCCTCTGGCAGTGAGCTCAAGAGGGTGCTGACAATAAGAGTCAGGGTAGAAGTCATTGGGGGTGGGCAGGGATTGGAGTGACATTTTAATTAATTACTTGGGGGGGCAGTGGGAGCTGCAGGACATTGGAAGTTGGGGGGGGGGGG